TGAAGGCGGACTGGTCAGGGTGGGTGATGCGGTCGGCCAAAGGGGCCACCCTATTGGTGTACCCCTTTGCCAGAATGCGAAAGATCACATTAATCACCGTGATCGGCCTGAACTGACGAATGTCCGAGGCTCCAGGCACCTTGGGGATCAATGTGATGATCCCGTAGTTAAGACGGTGGAGGTCAATGGTGCCCACATAGAACTCCTCAAAGAGGGCCATGACCTCCGGTTTGATGACAGTCCAGAAGGTCTGGAAGAACTTCACTGGTAGGCCGCCGGGGCCAGGGGCGGACGATGGGTTCATGCCTCTAATCGCCGCCCAGACTTCCTCCTCACCGAACGGAGCCGCGAGGGCGGCATTTTCCGCGGCCGAGATGCACTGGGGGCCGACGCAAAAGTCCGCAGCTAGGGCCAAGCCTCCCCTAGGGGGTGTGTGTGGAAAAGAGGGCTTTATAGAAGCCATCGACATGAGCGCGGACGCTGCAGTAGGGTCTCTCCGTCCCAAAGCAAGTGGATGGTATTCCGCCTCCTACGACCATTGTCGATGGCCTGGAAATAGGCCGTATTGGCGTCACCCTTGAGGACCCACTTTTGGGTCCCTCGAAGTCACCAATATGCCTCCTCGTCGGTGCAAATGACCGTGAGCTGATCCTTAAGGTCGTAGCGAAGCAACCACGCATCAGGGGTTAGTCCCACCGAGTCAGCCTGGAGGTCAAGAGCCTGGATGGAGGCGAGGAGGGCATTCTTGCGATACCGCAGGTATCGGCCGAGGTTGGCGCCCCAACACTACATAAACTGTCGAGAGCGCTTGGCACAAAAGTGCGAATCATCGACCGCCGAGAAGGACCGGTGCGGAGCAAGCCGGGCCTCCAGCCAGCGGTCACGAACGGCCTCGGCGAAACCGTTTTGGTTAAGCCAGAACGTCTCGAAGCGAAACCTAGGCGTAGGGGGCGGGCGGTCGTCCTGAGAAGACAGGAGCAGACGGACATGGTCCGAGCCAATCCGGGTGATGGCTTGGAGGGAGGTGAGGGGGCAGCGAAGCTCCCACTCCGACGAGACCAAGACGCGATCCAGAACGGAGCTGGTCGGGTCCGCCTAGCGGTTGGTCTAGGTGAATCTGGCACCAACCCTATCTAATTCCCGGAGACGGAGCTCAGCGATGCAATCATTGAACATCTGCATCCGAGGGTAGTTTACTAGATCGTTGCTCTTATCCTCCGCAAATCGGAGGAGGTTGAAGTCGCCACCCACTACTACGGGCAGATGCGCGGCCGACACCTTCGTCTTAAGTTCATCAAGGAAGGACTCATATCGGCGGTGGTCAGCGGGGCCATAGACGATAATGATCTCCCACTTGAAGTCGAGAGCACGTTCGAACAGCTCCATACTGACGTAGAACTCACCCCTATCCATACCACCTACCTCAAAGGTGGCATCCTTAACACCTAGCAGGATGCCACCCGAGTGTCCGGCGATCCCACTTGTAAGGAGCCAATGCCAAGCAAATAGGTGGGTGCTCAATCGCTCAATTTCAGACAAGGAGAACTCTGTGCGCATGGTTTCTTGGATTGCCATGATGTCTATCCGCTCATCTCGCATGTACTCGATGAGTTGGCGGCGACGGCCATCTTGGCTGAAGCCGCGGATGTTCCAGAAGAGGGTTCGCATTAAGCCACCATCGGGGGGCTACTTGACCCCAGGACACGGGAGGCGCTTTGGGCGCGAAGGCGGCGGTGCCGGAGCGGGTGCAGCCACGGATCTCCAAGGCCGCTTGTGGGGCCTGGCTATCCGACTGGGTGGATGTGGGAGGTCCACTGGCCGCGGCGGCAGGGGGCGCAACCATGCGTGCGCGGGCCTCAACCAACCTCCCATCAAGGATTTCCCGGGCACGAATTGCCTCGATCTGAACTAAGGGGGGAGCCACCTCCCTCCTGAAAACTATAGCCGAGTCAGCCGCGACCTTAGCTAGATGCCCTAGCGGTGCCGACTCTAGAGCAGAAAACGGGCATGTAGATGAACTAGTTGGGATGACTGGGGTACCTGGCTTGAGGTTGCCGGCCGCGGCCTGAAGCTCTGCCCGCTTCGGGATGGGCAGAGAAGGGCTATTAGCTGGCCGAGCAGCATCGATCCTGGCACTGCGATGGGAGGACGTCACCGGAGTCGAGGTCGAGCGCCCACGCCTGGAGTAGGCAACGGTCCGTGGCGGGTGGGAAGGCACAGCCATAGGAGTAGACAGGACGGAGGCCACCCCACTGCCAGTAGCTGACAGGGGGGAGGTGGGGGTGGCGGTAAGGCGAGGAGAGGCTGGAGGAGACGCGAGGATGGAGCCAGAGACCGGAGCAGGCCCACGTCGACCCTCTCCCACACATCTGCAGGTCTAGCCGAGGTAGTGAGGTGGCCGCGGCCAGAACAGCGAGGGAGCCCTCTGGCCCGGGAGCACCGATGGGACCAGTCGGGTTGGACGCTAGGTGCCTGGGGCCGTCGGCGGGGAGCAGGGGGAGGCCGCAGGGCCGTCGCCAGGGAGCAGTGGGGAGGCATTGGCATTTTGGGTTGACGCGTTTTGGGCGTGCTCTTCGACTGCACTGGCATTGGCATCAGTGGAATGACCTGGACAGTCCATGGGTTGGCTCCCAGCTGCTGTGCGACCAAGCAAACATGGCATTTTTCCTAGCTTCCACCATCATCACCATCGACAATGGACGCACGACGCTTTTCTGGCATGACAATTGGAGCGGTAGGGCCCCCCTCAAGGAGCTTGCACTGAAGCTCTACAAAATTGCTACCCGCAAGCACAGGACAGTTCATACCAAGCTCAGTGGGGAGAGTTGGATCAAGACGGTGTCCAGACAGCACTCGGTGGCCTAGCTAGGGGAATTTGTTGGTCTCTCGGAATGGCTCAGTCAAACCCAACCCTTGCCAAACCAGGAGGACTCCATCTCCTTGAACTTGACGGCCAATGGGGTCTACTCTTCCGCTTCGGCGTATGCGGCTCAATTCCTTGGATCCCACCCTAGGTTTGTGTCCCAAGATTTGGACCGTGCATTCGGAGCTCAAATGCAAATTCTTCGCATTGCTCATTCTCCATGGCAGAATTCTTACGGCTGATAGGCTGACAACTCGCGGATGGCCCCATGACCCCATGTGTCAAGTGCCTCCAGGCTCCGGAGACAGCCACTCACCTGTGCAAAGGCTACCCTTTTTCCGTTGCTGTTTGGAGCCATGTGAGCACCTGAGGTGAAAACCTACCTGTGTCCTCTTACCTGCCTGAACCTGGCGGAGTTTCCGAATGGTGGTATGACATCATCGCCTTGACGTCAAAGAAAGTCCGCAAGCGGGAGGAGCGGGAGGCTCGTCTACGCCCTATGGAACATATGGAAAGAGAGGAACAGACGCATTTTCTCGGGCACCCTTATGACACACCTTGAGGTGGCCATGTTGGCTTTGGAGGACATTAAGCAGCGCCATATGGCGTTTGGCGGCGCCATGCCCACCATGTGGGTTGGCTGAGATGCCTTTTCCATTTTTGGCAGCTTGGTG